GAGAGGGACATCATGCTGGGTAGAGTAGAGGGACAGCGCAGGAGGGGAAGACCTTCTATGAGGTGGATTGGTGACTGGGGTAATCGGGATGGGTGTGTTAGAGGCAATGAGATTGACACAGGGTAGAGCAGGGTTTAGGGCTGTTGTACATAGGGTCACTATGAGTCACAAACGACTTGACAACACATAACAACAGCAACAATGTACAGGAAAAGATCAAAGCCAAACAAGTAAAAAATTATTTGAGTTTGGAAGTTTTTTAAAGAGGAGAAATATACAAAACCTGACTTGTGCCCTAAGCATCATAGGAGAAGAAAAGGCTTCATTATCTTTTCCATTTAGTTGTTCAGGTCAGGGCCAAGGGCAAGACCTTTCCTGGCTTCGGATAGGCCCACAAGACAGAAGTACTGACCGTCAGCTCCAGTGACTGCTTGCCCACTTCAGTACTGACCAGCTCTGTGTCCTCGGGGTCCATAGCCCTGCCTTTTCAGATTTATAAACACTGCTGACCTCTAAGCTTGTTAATGTCCTTTTACTAGTTAAGGACAAAGCTGTTATCGGAAGGATAAAGATACAACAGTCTGCTCCAGGGTTTACAGCCTTGGAGACTGGAGAAGTTTTTCTGTGTCCTTTGTGGTTGCTAAGAGTCAAGTTTGACTCAACAACAGAGAGTTATAACATTACAGAGCTTAGAATCTATGTCTTTCTCTAAATTTTATTTATTAAAATAAATAGGCAATACCAAATGTGGTGATACTCAGGCATGCTAATTTTTTTAAAAAAACACACACACAAAACACACTTTTTATTGTGAATTGAGGGAAATTTACTTGGCAAATTTGTTTTCTATTTAATAATTAATACACATTTTATTTTAGGACCTTGATTGAAGTCCCCACAATAGAAGACGCACTTTAACCACACTACTACCTTGTTTATACTTTCCATTCTTCCCTTTCCTTTAGAATTCATTGTTCTAAGAAGTGCATACATTCTTAATGTGCTCCCATTCACCTTCACAGCTATAGATTGTTTGGCTAAAATTTGAGCCTTGGGGATGAGTTCAAATCCATACCTGGTGGACTCCTAAGGCCTGTCTCTGTCATACCAGTGAGCTTAATTAATTAATTCTTCTTAATTAATTTCAGTTTTCTTATACATTTTCCTCCCACTGTGTACTTGACTTTCTCTTGTCACCCCATTCAGAGCTTTCAGCAATAGTAGCTGGTAACTATCTAATTCTTCTGATCTCAGAGGAGTGGAGAGAGGTATTTAAATGATCCACTAGTCTGTTGGGCTGTTTCCTGTGTCTTGCTTTTCTTCATACCTCTTTGCTTTAGATGGGGTGAGACCAGTATTTTCACCATAGATGGCTGCTTGCAAGGTTTTAAGACCCCAGTTGCTACTCACCGGAGTAGGCTGTAGACCTCTGACTTTGTTTATTATTGCATACCTATTGAACTTGGCATGATATACTCCAAAACTTTGATCCTGAGTTTTTAGGTCCAGGGACCTTGAAGCAGTTGATTGTAGTTAAAAAATTGTCCTAACTTTTCTGGCTATTTGCTTTACAATATATGTAGATATATTTACAGCACATCAGACATGCTAAATTTTTACTGTCAACAAATTAAAAGAAAAACATACCCACTTTTTTTTCAGGTTGTTGAGCTCAGTAGCTGTGAAGAAACTCAAGCCTTAGCACTAAGAGTTATCCTCTCCTTAACCAAATACAATCAGCAGAGAGTCCGTGAACTGGACAACTGTAATGGCCTGTCCATGATCCATCAGGTGCTGACCAAGCCAAGGTGCATCGTTGGCTTCCACATGTTGAAGGTATGAGTTCATGAAACATGCTCTCATAGTATGAGGTGTGCTGTCACAACCACAGTGAAGACATCTGTGTCAGCTCTTCCCAAAGACAGTGAAGGAGCTGCCAGAGTGTGCCAAAGTATGGCACTCTCCAGTCCTCCTCATCATCGTTTAATAATGACCATTTTTCCTCAAAGCATCTTAGGAGAGAAATAGAAAAATATAAACTCCTAGAAATGCAGACACGGGTGGCTTAGACATCTTAGACATCTCCTAGGCCAGCCCCTTATTCGGTGAAATCACAAAATTGAGGCCCCAGGCCCTGTTACTTCAGCACCTCCAGTTCCATCTGACTTCTCCAGGCCGATTCTATTATACAGTGCTAAAGTCATTGACCTGCTTAAATACCTTTCTAAGAACACTGAGAAATTATTTCTCTCTCAAGGGAAAATAATTGTTTTACTCTTGCTAAGAGCCCTCAACTCTTCCATAAGGGCCATGCATTCAGGGATGAATCCTTACTACTTTAAGCGATTTTAAAGCCTAGAATGGATTCATTCTGTGTTAACAATGTAGGGCATGGTTTGTTTGACCCCATGTTTGAAACCAAGTCATTGCAAATATTTGAAAATTTGGGAATTTCTGATTATTTAACATATTTTGCAAAATAAAAGTTATTTATGAAATGTGAAATTAATTGCTGGTTTTCCTTAGGGTTCATTGTTGAAAGTGCCAAGATTTAGAAGTTAAGTTTTCTCTTAATCATTTCATTGGTCCTCAGTGCATCTTATATTAATGTCAATTTTCCATAGACACTTCTTGAAGGGTGCTGTGGCGAAGATATTATTCATGTCAATGAGAACAGAGAGTTTAAGTTGGCTGTGGAGTCTGATGCTATAATCCAAGATGTAAAACTCTTGGAAGAGCTGCTGCTTGACTGGAAGATATGGAATAAAGCAGAGGTATGTGCATTGAAATGCTCGTCTGGCCTCATTTCTAAAGAACACAATGTAACTATAACTGTCACTGGAACTCTGGAGACCACGTTCTGGACCATTGAGTGGCCTTGGACAGTGCTGAGCTAGAACTCAGAATCAGGAGATGGTGGACAGAAGCCCCTTGCCGGAGCCTTGGCAAGCTGGAGGGCATGGAGGTCATTGGACTCAGCTGGGCCTCCGTTAGCCATAATCTCTGGGAAAGAGCCATGCCAAGAGGCTGGACTCAGGGCAGTAGGGGAAGCAGACACATTTCTGAGTGGGGAATCAAACTGGGGTCAGAGCATGCAGGGCAAGGCCATGATGTACCACGGAGTCAGAACTGACTCAGAGATGGGAGCACAGCATATTTTCAGAGGCTGTAAATCATACAGAAGGAGATTGTCTGTCTCTTTCTCCTAAGGAACAGGCCACTGGATTAGAACTGTGTATATTTGGGTTGGTAGCTGACCTCATCTTTTTACTGCTAAGTCACCAGAGCTCACCAGTAGGCTAAGGTAAGGATCATAATTAGATCCTCCCTTCTGGAGTGATGGCTGCCCACAAGGCCAAGTGAGGGAAGGGCTGGGTCCTGGTCTCTTCATCATGATGTGACTAGTCTTCATAGTAACACACTTGCACAGCTGCCTTCGTTCCGTTCTAACTTTCCTCCCTAAACATATATACAATCATATATCACAAATAGATACTGGTGATTTTTAAAACACCCAGACTGTCTAGAATTGGTTTATAACAACAGTAACATCAAACCATCTCAGGACCAGGTTGGAGATCTTGAGCACCAGTGAGCGCAGACCAAATGAGCTCTGGGAAGATATCAAGAAAATCGTCCATGAAGAATGCAGAAGATCATTACAAAGGCTGAAGAAGAAGAAAAGACCAAGATGGATGTCAGATGAGACTCTGAGTATTGCAGAGTGCCGAGAAGCCGAAGCTAAAGGAAGAAACCAGTAAATCAAAGAGCTGAACAGAAAATTTCAAAAGGCAGCCTGGGACGACAAAGCAAGATACTATAATGAAATGTGCAGAGAGCTGGAGTCAGAAAATGAAAAGGGCCAGGCTCACTCAATGTTTCTTAAGCTGAAGGAGTTGAAAAACAAATTCAAGCCACAGGTGGCAATACTTAAGGATACTTTGGGTAGAATGTTAAATGATCCAGGAAGCATTAAAAGAAGATGGAAGGAGTACACAGAGTCACTATATCAGAAGGAACTGGCTGACACAGAGGAATTTCATGACATACATGAGCAGTAGCCTATGGTGATGAAGGAGGAAGTTCAGATTGCTCTGAAGAAATTGACAAAAAACAAGGCTTCAGGAGTTGATGGCATACCAATTGACATATTTCAACAAATAGACATTGCCCTGGCTGGATGTGCCCATTAAGTTGTGCCAATAAATCTGGAGAACAGCCAGCTGGCCCACTGACTGGAAAAGATCGATATTTGTTCCCATTCCAAAGAAAGGTGACCCAACAGAGTGTGGAAATTATTGAACAATATCATTGATATCATGTGCAAGCAAGATTCTGCTGAAAATTACCCAAAAACGTTTGGAACAATATGTCAGCAGAGAACTGCCAGATGTGCAGGCTGGATTTAGAAGAGGTTGTGGTACTAGGAATATTATAGCTAATGTTAGATGGATCTTGGCAGAAAGCAAAAAATACCAGAAGAATGTCTGTCTGTGCTTCGTTTGACTATGCAAAGGCTTTTGACTGTGTAGATCACAACAAGCTGTGGCTAACTCTGAGAAGAATGGGAATCCCAGAACATTTGATTGTGCTAATGCGAAACCTATACTTGGACCAAGAGGCAGTCGTCAGAACAGAGCAAGGAGACACTACATGGTTCAAAATCAAGAAGGGGGTCCATTAGGGATGTATTCTATCTCCATGCCTTTTCAATCTGTATGCGGAACAGATCATCTGAGACGCTGGGCTGTATGAGGAGGAATGTGGTATCAAGATTGGTGGAAGAGTCATCAACAACCTGCATTATGCAGATGACACAACCCTGCTTGCTGAAACTGAGGAGGACCTGAAGCGCTTGCTGCAGAAGGTCAATTTAAGCTCAAAACTAAGAAGACAAAGATTCCCACCACAGGGCCAATTGGCAGCATCAGGATGGATGGTGAAGAGATTGAGATAGTTAACAGTTTTAGTTTACTTGGCTCCACAGTCAGCACTCTTGGTAACAGCAGCCAGGAAATCAGGAGACGAATTGCATTGGGAATGTCAGCTGTGAGGGACCTCCCAAGAGTACTGAAGAGCAGTGATGTCAGGCTGGAGACTAAGGTACACCTGATCCAGCTATAGTCTTCGCAATTACGTGCTATGCGTTAGAGAGTTAGTTAGTGAGTAGGGATGATAGAAAGAGAATTGATGCCTTTGAGCTGTGGTGCTGAAGAAGAGTGTTCAGTATACCATGGACTGCTAGGAGAACAAACAGTTTTGTCCTGGAGAAGGTGAAGCCGGAATGCTCCTTGGAGTCAAGGATTCTGAAGCTTCGTCTGACATACTTTGGGCATGTTGCAAGGAGGGACTGGTCCTTGGAAAGGGACATCATGTTTGGCAGGGTGGAGGGGCAGCGAAGGAGAGGAAGACCTTCGAAGAGATGGATCGATTCTGTGACTGGAGTGATGGGAATGAATGCGTTTGAGATGGCTAGGTTGGCACAGTATAGAATGGCGTTTAATGCTCTTGTACATAGGGTCGCTATGAGTCACAAGTGATTCTATGGCACATAACAACAACAACATCAAACATAATTCATGTAACAAGCAAGTAAAGAGTGTATATAGGTTTACAATTTAAAACCAAAACAATAAAAAACGATGATTCCTGCATTTCACAAGAATCCAAAAATGAGTTGTGAAGTTGAGAGACACTTTTCTAATCTTTCATTAATAACAAATAAATTTTTACCAAATATGCTTTAAAGGAGAGATGTAGTGCTTTTTTTTAATCGTGTAATTTTATTGGTTTGTATGCAATCATTTGTATACATTATGTTTCATGCTGGTGCATTGTGTTTCATACAGTCTCTCATTTTCATTGTATTTCATTCGTGTGTTAGGTTTCGCCCCTTACAATCATCTTACTAATAACTACAATCATGAAAGCATGTAAGCCAGCAAAGTGATTTTTATATTCTTTCTATAGAAAATTGTATTGCAAACTAAGCTGTTGGTATTTTTCTGGATTTTGTGGTATTTCTAGAGGGTTCTGGTGGCATAGTTCATAGAGAGTTGCACTGCCAACCCAAAGCCAGCAGTTCAAATCCACTAGCTCCTCAGACAGAGAAAGATGGGCAGTCTCCTCCTGTACTCCTCTCAGCTCCCAGAAACTTGCTGGGAGGTCAGCTGTGAGTCGGTTCTGACTTAACAGCAATCAAGAAAGAAGTAATTCCTATTTTTTTCTTTATGATTATGGATAATTTAAAATTGATCCAATTTAGGAGAAACCTACTAAGGCAACCCTGAGGGGAAGGGAACTACTGAAAATGAAGAATTGCTTATTGTGCAGAAAATATAATTATTTGGACTTAAGATAACTTAATTCCCAAAATGCAGAATTTTCACACTATCAACTTTTAAAAAAAAATTAACATTATTTGTTATGAAGTTATTTGATTAAATGCTACATACTCAAATTGGCATTGAGGTTTATGCATTTTTAGTCATGCTCTTTAACCATACATTATTAAAAAAAATTATATTGATAATACATGCACTTTTCTGACTCAGTCCCTCAATGTAATTTACCTTTTGAAAATTCACATATCATTTAATGGCAAAGGAGGTGCATTTATTAGCATATGCAGTGAAGTATTGCATTCATTATAGATATTAAGAAATGACCTGTTGACAGCAAAAAATAATAGTATAGGAATACATTTCAAGATCTTTGTTTTCAGACATTTCATTTTTGATGCTGACTATATGCACATATGCATATGTTTGATATGTGATATAGTGAACACCTTCTGAAAAGCATGCCTCGGGTTATTTAGTAGCCTTGTGCTAATGGATGTGTGTTTATCTCTCAGCAAGGTGTTTGGGGGACCCTCCTGGCAGCCCTGGAGACCCTCATCCGAGCAGAGCACCCACAGCAGATGTTCAACATTAAGCAGTTGCTGAAAGCCCGTGTGGTCCATCACTTTCTCCTCACTTGTCAAGTTTTGCAGGTACTTTTAACATTACTACTTGTCTTGTTTTCCCTGTTAAATGACTCAGTGTTGTGGACACCAAGGGAGTGAGTCCCTTGGTGACACATACAGTTAAATGATCACCTGCAAATGAAAAGGTTGGAAGCTCAAGTCCCCTGAAGTGCCTCAGTAGAAAGCCCTGGTGACTTACTTATAAAACTTAGTCCTTGGGAACCAGCTGGGGTGGAGTTAGCTACTAAAATCAGCATCTTGAAAATGGGTTGTTTCAGAGATCCAGGTGCTGGTGTTAAAAAGTGGTGCTCTTGTCAGTTGCTCTGTCTTGTCTGTACTACCGCTTGACTTCTAGTTAAATCATTCCTGTCTTATATTTAGAGGTCTTTTCATCTGTTAAATTGGCATATGTTAAAATATTCTTCATATCATTTGTTTTCTTCTGTCTCAGTGCTAGTAGACATTTATCAGGTTTGAGGCTGCAGATGCCCATAGGATCACTGTTGTCTTCCTTGTTCCTTTGCTCCTGCATCACTTGTGGCTTCTTTCAGTACGTAATTTCCAGCCCAGAGTCTGTAACAAGCTCTGTGAGGTGACTTCAGGGACCTTTATGACTGGATACTTCTCCACTTCAGCCCTTCCGACTTCATTCACTTCTTTCATCAACTAGCCATTCTTTAGGCCTAAAATGTTCCTTATCTTGCTTTTTCTTCCTGACCAGTCATTAGTTAGCCTTCACACCTGTACGTAAAATTCCGGAAAAAGCCACCTTTACCCTTTCGGTCTAAATTAGCCCTTTCCCTTTTAAAATTTTTACTCTCTTTGTATGTACATTTATATAGTTATTGTTGATTGCCTTCGAGTCGAGCATGACTCATAGCAACCCTATGAACAAAAGGCCTGACGCCCCTCTACAACTATCGACATTTATCAAGTTCACAGGGTTTCCGGAGGTTGTTTAGGAAGTGAATGCCTGTGTGTGTGTGTGTGTGTGTGTGTGTGTGTGTGTGTGTGTGTGTGTGTGTGTGTGTAAAAATGTATATAAGATAACATATAACATACATTGTGTGTGTGTGTGTGTGTGTGTGTGTGTGTATGTATATATTTCCTAACCTTAACACCATTTAGATTACGGCTTATGTTTTTCTACAAGCTTCCTAATGGCAAGGAGGATATGTGCTGTTGATGACCACATTGTTACCCCAAGATCTAGCATGCATAAGCACCCTGTAAATAATCATGGACTTAATGAATTCTAAAAGGAAAAACTCCAACACTTTTTACTGCCTGAACTAAAGTAATAAAAATGGGAACATAGTGAACACATATGGAAGACATTGTAAAGACAGAATTAGTAGGATTTGATTTTGTTTAAAATAGGATCTGAGGGAGATTCAAGGTGAGTGACTAGAAGAGTAAGTAACCGTGCACATGTTGTGATTTACTCATGCATTTGAGTTCCAGTGGAACATTTAGTGGTGGTAAGTGCTCGGCCCAGGAGAACAGCAAGAGACTGGAAACCCTCTGCATTGATGGAAGGGTGATTCCATGGGGTAGATGATTACTACAGGATAAATGAGCAGAGAATCAGAAGGCTGAGGTTTGCACATCAGGAAATAGCCATTTCAGCACGCAAAAACTGGACGATTAATAAGACAGACCAAAGAATTGATATCTTTCAGTTATGGTGCTGGCAAAAGATATTGAATATCCCATGAACTGCCAAAAGAACAAACAAATCTGTCTTGGAAGAAGTACACTAGGGTGCTCCTTAAGAGGCAGGGAGAGTGACGTTTCATCTCACTTACTTCAGGCATGTTGTCGGGAGGGCCCAGTTCTTGGAGAGAGACATCATTTTGGGAAAGGTGGAGGGTCAGAGAAAGAGAGGAAAGCCTCCAAGGAGAAGGACTGACCCAATGGCTACAACAGTGGGCCTGAGCATATCAGAGATCATGAGGATGGTACAGGCTGCAACAGGGCTCCTGTCTGCTGTTCAGTGGTCACTGTTAATTGTTGTCAGCAGTACCTAACAACACAACAACAGCCAAAGAATGTTGAGTAAAAGCCAAGGATGCACTTGTCCAGGAGATGATCCCTCGAGGCAAAAGATGTCCAGAGTTCAAGGAACATGTTGGCAGATAGAAGAGTCATTGACTCAGAACTTGAGAGAGCCTAACGGCCTGCAAGGTTTCAGTAGAGGAGAGAAGACAAGACTTGAAGAATCATGGGCAGCATGTGTGGTGGGTCATTGGAGGTGCTGAGTATGAATCATAATTGAAAAGTTCAACAAAAGGAAGAAAAAATAATGTTAACAAAAATCTGCTCACTAAGGAATTTTTAAAAAATTAGTATCTTTATACCAGCACTGGCTATTTATGCAGTGAGTGTCAATGGAAAGGACAAAATTGAAGAGACATGGGCTAGGATGTACTTAAAACTAAAACCAGGTCCCTGCCATTGGATCACTTCTGATTCCTGGCAAACTAGGCCTCTCAGACTGCAGACCCTAACAGAACAGGCTGCCTTTTCTGTCTTCACGGAGCAGCTTGTGGGACCACTAGCCTTTCTATTACAGCCACACCAGCAAGGCTCTGCAAGTGTGGACATAGGAGTACATAGCTGAAAATTATTATTACAGCAGAATGAGCCCTAGATTGGAGGAAGAGACCTATACTTTTGATTTGGTGAGGTCTTGACATAGACATTTTATACTGTCTTCTGTAGACCCTATGCTCTCACCTTAAATCTGAGGTGGTCCAACCAGATAGTTTCAAAATTGCCCTCTAGATTTTAAGTACTTTGATGCATCAGTCAACAGAAGGGGACGTAGAAGCATATCATATGTTTGCACACAGTGAGAAGGAAGATAAGGAAATTGACCTTTTAGCCTTAACATACCAACTAGCTGCTAACCAGAATTAAAGGCTATAAAGGATTTATTTATGTTTATCTTCATCTTAAGTAGTTACCCGGAATTCCAGGTCTCATTATTCTAAGTAGTAGATGATTCAATAGAAAAGAGTTCAGAAGCCTGCTTTTGGGTCCTTACTATATTTGCATGAGTCAAGCTAAGTCCCTTGGCCCTTTTGACTCTTCTTTTTCTGTAATTGTGGGTCGGTAAACTAATAAACTTTTTTAAAAAAAATTCATAAACTTTTCAGATGTCCTTTGTACATTGAAAAATGTTATCTTCATGTCACTAGTTTTATCTATCAGAAAATTTTGATCACACAGTAATAGGAACAGCTGTAGTAATAACAGCAGAAATAATAGTACTAATTGAAGTAATGGAGGGAGCTCTGGTGGCTAGTGGTAAGGAGCTGTGCTGCCATCCCAAAGGCACACAGTGGGACACAACAACATCATATATAGATATGAGGCATTATTTTCAGAGCCTGTATTTAATGCTTAAAACAACTCTTTGCAGTAGCATTCTGTCATTCCTGTATCACGATAAAGAACCAAATGCATAGAAATGTTAAGTAGCGTGCCCAGACTCACACAGCTGAAGAAAGAGCTTGAATGCCAACCTGGGAGGTTTAACCTCTAACCCTCTTCTCGTAAGCCCTGTATTTTTGCCTCTAAGTTATTAAAAAAACCTGAGATTCCCGCCAGTGAGTCACTTCTGACTCTTTGTGACTTTGTAGGACAGAATGGAAGACCACATGTAAATGTTCATGGAACAGATTACCACATCCTTCTCTCAAGGAGCAATTGGTGGCCTTGAACCACTGACTTTTTTATATTAGTTTTTGTATTGAGTTGTGCCACTCAGGCTCCTTTTGTAACAATAAATGACCTAACATGAAATCACTGTCACTTTGAATGACTTTTTATTAGCAAGACTGTTTGAACTGGGAAATAGAAAGTCAATTTAATGGTAAATACAGTCAGGCTAGAGTAGTAAAGTAACCTAAATCTACCGTTAAAAAGACTAGCCCCTTACTTGAAAAAATGTTAACTGACAGTTCTCTCCAAATCTAAAGAGAGCTTGATTTTTTTTTTTTCCAGGAACACAAGGAGGGGCAGTTTCACTCCATGCCCCGGGAGGTTTGTAGGTCATTTGTGAAAATTATAGCAGAAGTCCTTGGATCTCCCCCTGATTTGGAATTATTGACAATTATCTTCAATTTCCTTTTGGCAGTTCACCCTCCTACTAATACTTATGTTTGTCACAACCCCACAAACTTCTACTTTTCTTTGCATATAGGTAGGTAAAACCATTTGTGTTAGACCTTCCCTCTCCTTCCTTCTTTTCTCACCCTGCTTATCCGCATTGGTTTGATATTCTTTGAAAGGCCTCTATGTGCAAGTCGCTGTTCTCATTCACTGCTGGGCTTAGGATAGGACTTAGGGTTATAAAATGAACCAGATGGAGCCTCTGCCAGCAGAGCTCAAGTTCAAGAGGTCGTGCATCCTCAGAGAACTACAGTAAGAGCTGGGTGCCTGGTAAGTACCTAGTAGATGCAAAGGAAGAACTAACCCCGTTTCAGAGGAGTGAAGGTTCTAGCGGACACCTGTGGAGGGAGAACACTAATAAGTTACATGATACCTGACTTAGGCATTGAAGAATTGAAATCTAATTTGTATAGCAGATGAATAATCTTTTTGGGAAAACCATTATGATTATTTTGAGCAGTTAAATATTAAACTGTAAGCTACCTTTAAGAATTCAAGGGAATGAGCTCTGGTGGCCTAGTGGCAAGAAGCTGCACTGCAATCCCAGAGGTGAGCAGTTCAAACCCCCCAGATGCTCTCCTGGAGAAGGAGGGGCAGTCTCCTCCTGTACCAGTAAGGTCCAATTTGATGGTTCACACACAAAAAAAATAATAAAAAATAAAAAAATTTTTTTAAAAAAGAATTCAAGATAAGTAGAAGTTACACAGGAAGTCCAGTGGCCTGATGCTAAGAAGCTGCACTGCCAATCCAAAGGCACATGGTTTGAATCCACCAGGAGCCTTGCAGGAAAAAGATGGGCAGGCTTCTCCTATGTAATTTACAGCCTTGGAAAACCCCCTGGAGGTTCAGCTGTGAGTTGGTTCCAACTTAATGGCATCTTACAGCAACAATAGAAGTTACACAACTGGTAATAGTCAACCAAAAAAACTATAGTAAGAGATTAGAGAGTATACTCATGTATCAGGTGTGTAATATTGTAAATTCTCTCATATCTTCCTTCTTTGTTCAGCTTTTTTTAAAAAAATGTAGACTTAATGATTTGCTTTAAAATTGTATTTTGTTTATTCTTCTTTAGTTTGTTTTCTCAAAAAGAAAAAGGAAATATCTGTGAAATGATTTCACTTTCCCCTTTTACTTCTAGATGGCAAGATTTTCCAGGAGAAGGTGCAGTCGCTCGTATACCTGCGACACTCCAGCAGTGGGGGGAAGGCCGGCCCCAGCGCTGGGTTCACAGTGGTCAGTCCAAGTGGCTTCAGTGCTGCCCCTCCTGAAGGTACACAGAGTGACAGTGACATATTCGCTTGGAGTGAACAAATGGTGCATGCTTTCATAGGCTAATACAACTGAATATTTTAGACTAAATAAATGGAATATTACATTTTGGAATGGCGGAAATGCTTGAAGGAAAACATTTTCATTACCTTCTGCTATCATTGCTGAAGGGAGCTCTGGTGGCTTAGTGAGTCAGATGCTGCTCTGCCAACCCAAAATCAGATGGTTTAAATCCAATTGTTCCATGAGAGGAGAATGAGTAGTCTCCTCCCAGCAGTTTACAGGCCCTGAAACCTGCTGGAGGGGCAGCATTAACTCAGTTCCAACTCCATGGCAGTGAGTTTGAGTGTGATCTGAGCTGGAGCCCAGTTTGACAAGAGCTACCTTGTACAGCTTTGTTTTCCTCACTCTCTCCTTTCTTTCAAAACCAATCACTTGTCATTGAATGACCATTCAGTGGCATCAGCCTCAAGTTCTTTGACTCCGGGACCTTCTTCAGTCTCTACAAGTATTTTTGTTGCTTCGTGCCACTGAGTCACCTGCAACTTATATCAACGATATGCTCTGAATCTGCCCTGTCCTGAACCAACCTCACTGTCTCTAACACACCTGCTACCATTGCCCCAGTCACTGTGTCAATCCATCTCATCGAGGATCTTCCTCTCCTGCATTGTCACTCCACCCTTCCAAGCATAACATTCTTCTCTAAGGACTGGTCCCTCCTGGCCACATGCCCAAAGTATGTGAGACAGAGCTTCAAAAGCCCTGCCTCCAAAGAGCAACTTGGGTACATCCTCTCTTGGATTGATCTGTCTGTTCTCTTGACAGTCCATCACCACAACTCAAAGGCATCGATTCTTCTATCATCCTTAGTCATTGTCCAGCTCTCTGATAGGATTATTTGCATAGCAAGTAATTTTGAAGACTATGTCCCAGATTGTGTGCACCTTGGTCTCTAGACTGACATGGTTGCTCTTCAGCACACTGCGTGGTTCCTGACAGCCTACTTTCCCAGTGCAACTCATCTTTTGATTTCCTGACTGCTGATGCCAAGAGTGTTGATTGTGAATGCGAGCAAGATGAAGTTGTTAACAATCTCAATCTCTTCTCCATCAATCATAATGCTGCCAATTGGCCTAGTGGTAAGAATCTACAAGTACACTTGTACCTATATTATATTGGATTCAATGGCATAATGTAACTACAACTATTGGCTTAAACATGACCACAAGACCATGAAGACGATTCAGATCTGCTGTTCACAAGGCCACTGTGATTCTTCATTGACTCAACAATACCTAACAACAGCACTATGGACTTTATCATCGCCCACAAAGCTTCTCCTCGCTGATATACTAGTAGTCCTGCTCCTCCTCCTGGCTTTATACTGTCTTTATAACAATCCCAAGCTCTTGCTCTTTCTCCTTTTTTCTCTCCTCCTAGATTCCTTTATCTGATAACCTCACCATTTTCTTGACACTATTTTCATTTTTCTTGTCCTCCTGACCCTTCAGTATTCTCAACCTGTAAAACCCTACCTGAGGGCAGTTAGCCAGCTGTCATCTCCACTTCTGTCTTCATGTGGCTGGAAGCTACAGAGAAAGCCACCTGTGAGAATTCCTGCTTTTATGTGGGTCTTTACCAGAGTTTTTAATGTCACTGTTATTTTTCTGTGTGTTCAGAATCAATTTGGGGTTTTTTCTATAGTAAGTATACTCTTTAGGTCTATTGGATCTTTTATGATTTCCTGGTTTACCCTTTATGTTGTTGTGTGCTTTCAAGTTGGAATGGATTCATGGCTGACCCTCTAGTGAGTTTTCAGAAGCAATAAATTGCGTGGGAAGAGATTGCCCGTACTTCTCTTGTGAAGAAACTAGTGGATTTGAACCATGTGCACGTGGGAAGAGATTGCCCATCCGTGTTTCATGGAGTAGCTATTGGATTTGGAACGTGTGCTTTTGAATTGTAGCTTAGCTTTTTACCAGTAGTCCACTAGAGTTCCCTTTATAAGTTATTTTGAAAACCTCTAGAAAAATTAAATAAAATAAGTATAGGTCTTTAGTTGTGACAAGTGACCCCTCATTTTCTTTCCTGGTTTGTGTTCACAAGGAGCCCTGGTGATGCAGTGGTTAAGCACTTGGCTGCTAGCTGAAAGGTCACTGGTTTGAACCCAGCACCCACTTGGCAGAAGAAAGCTGTGGCATTCTGTTCCCATAAAGATTCCAGCCTAGAAACCTTGCAGGACAGTTCCACTCTGTCCTGGAAGGTCCTTGCATGTTGAATCAACTTGATGGCAAAGGGATTGAATATTGGGCTCTTTGTCCATACTAGAATGATCTCAATTGTCAGATTGTGAGCAGGACACAGGATGGGGCAGGCCTCAGACCCATTGTTCATAGGTCACTCTCTACGTAATGACACCAAAACCAACATACTAAGACATTGCTTTAATATGGACACAATCTGGCTTTGTGTCCTTTAAAACACAGATTGTTAATTAGTGCAGATAAGACTGTAATCTGGCTTGACAGGACTATGTGTGTGCATTTGTACATAATGGTTTTCTTCTCTAATTCTGTTTCGGTCATTCTCTAGCACACTTTGTAGCCTTTTATTATGCTCTCATCACATTACCATTTCATTTGGCATTTTATAGAAATTATCTGTATTTTAAGTCTTATCTGTCACTTTGAACTTTTTTTATTTTATATTAGTTTGCTTAAAAAGATCATATACATTGTTTCACATGTTCTTTATTCACATTTTGTTTCATATAGTTATTCCCATTCACTATATTTTATAGAATTAATCACAATTGGACTATGGACACCACTACCCTGTCTTTTCAGGTCCCTGCTGGTTCTTTCCCATTTTCAGATGTATTTTTCCCAGGTCTTTTGAATAGACTCTTCGGGCATCCCTAGTCCCCCAGCCCAAGTCCAGAAATCACTAGAAACAGCTGAGCTGCTGAAGTCTCTGCCCAAAGCCCATGCCCTAATGGGTCACTCAGTGCCCCCATGTTCAACACCAGTGCTCCTCAGAGCTCAGTGTACTGCAGGGTCACCTGGAGGGCTTGCTAGAGCACACTCCTCAGCTCCTGCGGCCCCATGTTCTGACCATGGTGGTTCTGAGCTGAAGCTGAGAAGGGCACACCCCACCTGGCACACAGGTAGTGCTGATTCTGATGCTGCTGGCCTACAGTTCCCACCTCAAGAGCATGCCTGCACAGCCCAGCTGCCTGGGACGTCAGATTCAGTGTCCTTCTACACAGCCCAGCAAGCGCAGCAAGACCCAAGAGCTATAGCCAGAAAGCAGGACTTTCCCCCATAGCAGCAGGGAGCAACTACAGAAGTAGAGGAGGCAGAGCTGGTTACGGCCATTAGTGTAATAAAAACAATAAGTAGGACATCAAAAATTACTGTCTTTTACTTACTGAGAACCTGTCTTTATTTGCCAGCCACTGGTAAGATGTGTTGTAGATCTGATCTCATGTAATGCGTAAAGCAGCCCTAAAAACATTCTGAATTTCCCTGTCTTATTTGGAGAAGCTGATGCTCATATCATTGATTTGCCTAGCACTGTATAACTAACAAGAAGCTCTGGTGGCCTAGTAGTAAGAGGCCGTACTGCAATCCCAAAGGCACATGGTTCAAATCCATCAGTTTATCCACAGGAGAAGGATGAGCAGTCTCCTCCCTTGTGATTTATTGCCTCTAAAAACCCACTGGAGGATCAGCTAGGGGTCATTCTGACTCATCGGCATACAACTTCCATTTGAATCTCATTGCATCTGGTTTCAACGTCTGCAATCTGAGCTTTATCAGCATCAGTCCTAAATGCTCCTGCTGCTGCTGCTGCTAGGTGCGGCCAAGTCATTTCTGACTCCTAGTGACCCTGTGCACGACAGAGCAAACCTTGCCTGCACCGTGCTCACAAACTCCACTGTGCTCAAGCCCGTTGTTGCAGGGCTGTGTTAGTCTGTCAGGGAGGTCTTCCTCTACTCCACTCACCCTGTTTTTCCGTTTACGATGTTGTTCTCCAAGGACTTCCTAACGCATCCAGAGTCTGTGAGATGAAGTCTCACCATCCCTGCCTCTAAGAAGCACCTTGCCTGTACTTCTTCCAACACAGATTGGTTTCTTTTTTAGTAGTCCGTGTTTCATTCAGTACTTTTAACCACACATCAGAGTCCTCATTCTTCTTCGGTTTCTCTTCCTCCTTGCTGACCTTTCACAAGCATCTGCAGCAAGGGAAATGACTCTGGCTTGGGTCAGTGGTTGCACCTAGTCTTCAAAGTAACATATTCACACCTGTGCTGCAGCAATATTTACAGAATCAGAATTAGAAACAACACAAGTGCTAATGAACAGACAGATGGCTAAAGAAACTGAGATATGTTCATACAATGACTTAAAAAACAATCAAGAATTTGTAAAATACTGTACAATATGGATAAAGCTAGAAGCAATTATACTCAAGTCAGTCACAAAATATGAAGTATTGTTAAGTGCTGTCAAGTACAACTCATAGTGAACAGCAGCTTGGAACCCTGTGCTATCCTGTGCCATCCTCATGATCTCTGACACACTTGAACCCATTGCAGCAGTCACTGTTTCAGTCTCTCTGGTTGAGGATCTTCCAGACTTTTCACTGTCCCTTCACCTTTCCAAGCATGATGTCCCTTTTCAAGAACAGCCTCTCCTAGCAGCTTGTCCAAAGTATGTGAGACCAAGCTTTATCACCTCTGCCTCCAAGGAACATTCTGGCTGCACTTTGTCCAAAACCTATCTGTTCTTTTGGCAGGCCATAGAATATTCAGTACTCTTCTCCAGTACCACAACTCAAAAGCAACAATTCATCTTCTGTCATCTTTATTCATTGTCCACTTCTCAGATGCATCGCAAGTAATTGGAAAGATCATGGCCTGAATCATGAGACCACTAATATATAAAGCTAAGAAATTATTTACATACAGGAAGAAGAAGTGAGGTAGAGAGGGCCAAATGAAAAAAATACAACTTGCAAAATATACAGAAAGATGCGTTTTGACTGATAGATTTGAGACATGCAGATGTTATACATTGCACACATGTCTGAAAACCTCTATCTCATATATGATAAAAGAAGTGTCTCCCTAATATTTTCACCTTGAATGCTTGCCTATAAATTGAGGGGTTAGTGGATGGTGGGCTGGTGGTCGGAGTGGAGGTAGCTAGGAAAAAATTACATCCTTGTTCTTCCCCACTTTAAAGAGATCCTTGACAGCAGACTTGCCCAAGGGACCAGAGACCGCTAACATAGAATAAGTTAAATTTTCCTTAGTTTGTTAATTTCACCGCAACAATTAATCCTAGTGATTTTGAATCATTCAGTTGATACTATATTTTGTTAAGAAAGTGGGAAAGTTTTCATAAAAATGGTTAGCAGATAATTGTTTTGCCACTTAGGAATTTTAATCATTAGGAAATTTCACATGAGTAGATTTCGTCAGAGTACCAGCAGCTAACTGGACTCTTGCTGGGTTGGTACTGAGGGTGGTTCCACATGCTTGAGTTTCCTTCTGTCTGTTTTTTAGGAGACAGCGCCTACAGAATCCTGCCACAATGCATCACTGCGCACATGCCGCGTTCCAGAAGCCTGCCAGCATTCCCTATGTCTTCACCAACTGAGCAGCCACAGAAACTGACTGCAAGCTGGGGCTGCAACATTGACAAATTAGACAACATTGCAGATCATTATGGTGCCAGGCGGCCAGAGAAATGTTATCCCTCCGGGAGTTCTGAGCTGCTAGAAAAAGGCAAAGAAGATGCATTCATCAGTAGCTGTGAGTCTGCAAAAACGGTTTGTGAAATGGAAGCACTCTTCCCAGCCCAAGCTGCTGTGGATGGTGTCCCTGAAGGGAAATTGAGGCTTCCAGTCGTCAGAGTGGATCAGAAGGATGCAGGGGCTGAGGCCAGGTCAGAGGACAGTCCCAGGGATGAGCCCTGGCCTCGCCGGCCTGACTTCCTCAGGGGACTTGCCTCGTTCCAGCGCAGCCACAGCAGTATTGCAAGCCTGGGGCTGGCTTTCCCCTCCCAGAATGGATCTGTAGCTATGGGCCGCTGGCCAAGCCTTGGGAATCGGAGCGCTGATGAGTGGGATAGCTGGGCCCTTCCTCTTGGTTACGGGCAGAACTACGGCCAGACCACAGGTGCTCACAGGTCAGTGTGCAGCCTGGGCCCCACCTACTTCTTTTAAGAATATCATTTCTGGAAATACTTTTTTTTTCTAATTTATTTTATATAGCATATTCTTCCCTTTTAACTTTTTTCTCATTCATTAATTGTTGCACATTTCCCTCCCTGCCCACCCCTTGCCCCCAGTTCGCTTTTCTCTTTCAAAAGAGAAAAAAAAATCCATCCTTTCATTGTTATACAATCCCACCCACCAAGTCCAATTTACTATGCATTTATTTTTCTGGACTCTTGTCATGAAAATAGTACCTAATCATATATTCCTTTTAAACAGTTCTCTCCCTCATTTGTTTCAATGCAGTATGCATTATTTATCCCTTCTTTTCTTAGGTTCCTCCCAACACCAATGTCAGTCCCGTTTTACAACAGTTTTGTTACTGCTTTATATGTGTGTATGTGGCTATGCACATACACACACACACACACACACACACAAATAGCAAAGATACACTTCACCTTATTTTAATACCCAAGGTTCTGAGTTCCATAGTTAATCGGTCATTAAATCATAAATAGCTCTCAAAGAAAAGAAAAGCCTTGGGCTTTATTTCATTCATATAATTGTTGTTATGTGCCGTCAAGTCGCCT